AATAAATGCATTATCACCCCTATAACTTATTGCTACTCTTAAAGACCAGGCTGGTCTTGAACTCACAATGATCCTCTTGCCTCCGCCTTCCGAGTGTTGGGATTACAGGCATGTGCTATCATACCTGGCGCCCTGCTAGGAAAATTCATTAAGCCCACTAGGTCTTCTTTTTGCTTTTGGGTCAGGCTGTGTGTATGTACAAGCTAGGGATCGAGGCCAGGCCCTGCACTTGTTAGGAAAATACTCTACACCTCTGCTACATCCTCAGCCCTAAACTCAATAATTTGTTTTGCTTTTTAAGCAGTACATGTACATGTAGCAGGTGTTCGTCATCCCCACACAAACTAGGTTAAAGATGGCAGTTTCCTATTTTGGAGTTGGGAAGAACACACCAGGGTGGGTGCTAGAACCTTTGGCTGTGTAATGTTGCACTCTAGTTCCAGCCATACCTGGAATACCTATAGTTTTTTCCTTTTTTAATATTTATGTGTTTTGTACAGGGTCTCGCTACACAACCTGGATTCGTAATCCTGTTTTCAGCCTCCCCAGAACTGGGATTACAGGCATGCACCACCACACTCGGACTCAGTTTCTGGCTCAGTGTGCCCGGGGGTGGGGCTGGTGTGGTATGTGGTACTGGGGATCAAACCCCGGTTCCTGGAATACCTGTAGTACATGGAGTTATCTTTAATATCTGCTGGTATTCTGTGTGAACCAGTATCTCACTGTAAGAAGTCTCTTTAGGGCTGGGGAGGTAGATCATTGAATGCTAGAACACTTGCGTAGCAGGCATGAGATCCTGAGTTCAATCATCAACAGTTAAAAAACAAAGTAAAGTCAAACACCAACACTGTTATACTCTTACCTTTATCACTAATAAGATAGAGCACTTTACACATGTTCCTTTTGGATTCATCCTGTATGTTCTTGTTTATACCCTTTGCCATTTCCTACTGGGTTGTTTCGCATTTTCTTCTTGGAATATGGGGTTCCCTCTGGCCAACTCTGCATACTGTGTAGCTCTGCTCCCTCACATGAATGTAAGTCCATTTCTTTTAGAGGGATTAACCTAATGGAAGTTTCTAGATGTCTGCTGTCATTGCATTGGCTCTGTCTGAACAGGCCGACTTGCAAGAAGCATTCACAGGAGACTTCATGATGGTGTAGAGCTCTGTTTGGCCTTGGCATGGGGTTTGTCTCCAACTTAGGAGTCACAATGGCAGTCATTTCTCAAACACAGTTCTAGACTTAGTAAGAACCCATGAAGCAGTGGGTTCATGTCACAGAGGAAGAGGACAAACTGCAGCTTCCTATTCCCTTCCACTTCTACCAAGCTGCGTCCTCTAAGACCATGTGATAGCATGCACATCAACCATGACATCGCCAGGCTCTCAGCTACCCAAGCAAGTCACAGGCGCTCTCCGCAACAGCTTGCAGGGCTTTGTTTGGAACAGGCTCAGGAGTCCTTAGGGTCCCTCTGGTGAAGATGAATGAACTATTTTAAGGAAGTCAACAAAAATCTGTTGATAACAAAAATGTACTCTAATGGCCATTAATTCTCAGCTTTTAGAGCATTAGGAATGACTCAAGTGGCCCCAGAGAATAAAAATCTACCATGATGACTTCATTTCGATTTGATAAGGGTCCAAATTTCTGTTTCCATTTTAATAGTTTCTTTTCCTGTTTATACAAACACACTAGCATAAAGTTTCGCAAGGAAGAGTGTGGGACGGAGGCTGCGGGGAGGCCAAGACCTACAAGGTCCTAACTTTAGTTTTCTATTTGGTACAGAATGCCCTCCTACACTCATAGACCACACATGGCGTCAAACTCTAGACTCAAACCTGGCTTTGCCGTTGGGAACTCCCAGCCTCGAGTGGTGGTGCACACCTGTAATCCCAGCACTTGGGAGGCTGGAGCAGGAGGATCACTGTGAGTTCGAGGCCAATCTGGACTATATAGCAAGACCCTGTCTCAAAAGAAAAAAGAAACCTAGGATGGTTATCCTGGTAGGACAGAGTGCTCAGCTCTCCCTGGGGGAGTTCTCGAGGAGATGTCTGTGTTAAGTCTTGATAGGTGAAGAGTTCTAATCTAACCAAGGGCAGGTGGTGGTTAAGTCAGCAAATAAATACTTTTAGTGCCTGTCATGTACCAGGGGTTGGGTCACCATGAGAGGTAGAATGGGGTGCGTAGTAATAGGCAAAACAAGTTAACACAGACACTGGCCTCCTGGAGTTTACAGTTTCATAGAGGCAACAGACAAAGAGATAGACACATAAGAGTAACATGCATAATAGGAAATGGGAGAAACACCACAAATATCACAATGCTAGACCCTTGTCATCTTTTCTGTCTTGGCCAAAAGGTAGAATCATCTTTGAGGAAGCTGACTAGCCTGAAGGGAACAATCCAGAGACACGAACATTGGGATTACCCAAGGATTACCACTAAATCTTCCTGTAATGGAGCTCAGTACACGAGCCCTTGAAAACTCAGAGGTCACAATCAGCTTTTTAATTCCCAATTTTTAAAAATATAAGCAGATAATCACAAGGATCAATTTGGAGTAAGTAGGGACTACCAGAGAAACAAAATTTTACTTAATATTAGCATCTTTAGAAGTGAGGGAAGACATTTCAACAATGACAAAAGATCAAGATGGGATAAAACAGGGGCCTTTGGCAAAAGAACACTGGTAAATTCAAAACATGATAGCAGAAATGAAAAGAATAAAGAGAAGGCTTGAATGACAAATTGGAAGAAATTTAATAAGACAAAGAGGTTGGAAACAGTCCAGGGTTCCAACATCCTAGCAGAGTTCCATGTTTCTAACAGGAGAGGAGAAGAGAGAAGAGGAGAGAAAAAGAAATTAGTGTGAAATAAAGTCTCTAAGATGCCATTGCTTTGGACTAAAAATCAAGGTGACATCACTTACACTAATGTTCTGTGCTACCAAACAGAAATTAAGTTGTTACCTGGCTCTAGGGAAGAGAAATGATAACCACATTTCCTAAACAGGCCAAATTTCAACTAGCACAATAATGTCATTCCCTCTGCATAATACTTACCAGAGAAGAAACTTGATGTCAACCAATCAGCTATTTTTCTTACATTCTGTCTCCCTACCCCACTCCACAAGGAAGGAAACTTTGAAAGATCCAATCCTCTCTTTGTTCTGTTTTTACTTAGTTCAACCTTCTTCAGCCTATGAAATCAGCCTCCTCTGCTCAGCTCCCTGGGACACATTTTACAGAAAAAGCTTTCTTGGTTCTATAGTCCCAAATAAAGCCAATTAAACTTCAACTAATTTTGTTCTGTCTTTTGACAGAGAAAAGAACTAATAGAATAAAGCAAGGGAATCTAGACCTACAAGACCTATTTTTAGACTGAATTGATGGTGTGAGCCGTACGTATAACAGGGTAGAAAGGGTCACACAGTAGGACTTCATCTCAAAACGGCAGAGTATGAGCAAAACCAAAAGACCCTATAAATTCTAGAGAAAAACAAATCACAGACGAGGGATCATAAATCCCTTGGTTTGGTGCTGGTCAATAACACAGAGCTAGAAGACCATAGAGCCGCTAGTACACAATGCTGAAGGAAAATGAAACCAAACCAGAATTTGATACCAATCCAAGTTACTAAGCAAGTTGTAGAGATACATATCAGATTCACAGGGTCTCCAAATAGTTATCTTCTCTAAAGGTGCAAACTCAGAAAGGAAGGGAGAGAAACTCTGCAGGAGAATCGGAAAGGGAAGCCCAAGGACAGCTGTGTGGCCAGCAGAGGGGGCAGCTAATTCAAACAGAAATGGCCAGAGGGCTGGGGCAGACTGCTTCAAGAAGGAACTCACTGCCTGATGAGTCTAAATAGGTTAAGGGAACTGACTGCAAGTGTAGGGTTACTAGTGGCAAGTGTGTAGGAAACAAAGCAAACTGTAGGCAACACAGAAAATGATTTTGGCCAAGTCATCAACATTGACGAAATGGCTTGGCAGAGCCTGGATGGGGCCGGAACAAGAATACACGTGTGTGTAGGGGGAGCAGAAGGCCCAAAGGACTAACACTGACTTCTCTCATGGTAAGACGTCAACAGAGGATGCCGAACTGAAATATTAGGAAGCAGCAACAGAAACAAAGGTAAAGTCCAGCTAGATGTAGTGGTGTGTGCCTATAATTCCCACAGCTCTGTAGACTGAGGCAGGAGGATAGCAAGTTCAAGGTTAGCTGTGCAACTCAGAGAGATCCAGCCTTAAAACAAAATTTTAAAAGGGGGCTGGGAATGTAGCTCTTAGTGTAAAGGGTCTTGGTTCAATCCTCAGTACCACAAAGGGGTATGGGGAGTAAATTCCAAAGGAATCAGTTACTCACTGAAAGAGGTTGCCTCTGGGGAAAACAGAGACTTTGATGACAGACCTTGGAGATCAGTGTGGATTCTAAATCCTGAGCGCATATAATTTTGATAAAAACTTAAAAATAAAAAAGTATGTGGCCCCAGGAATGTATATAACAGAAAACTCAACTTTAGATAGGGACATTGGCCAGCTGGCTCTGGGGCAAGGTCTGAGTTCTGAGGTGAGGAAGCCAAAAGCAAGTGTTGCCAAGAGAGGAAACAGACGGAGGTAATTAATTATAAAGGCTGAGAGGGCTGGGTGGAGTTCAGCCCTAGAGCAGCAGTTTAGCAAGCCCAGGGTTTGAGCTACACTGTGCCCTCCCCCAGCCTCCAAAAGGCAAAGCTGAGGAGAGACTGCTGCTGGCTTAGGCCAGGGTGGCGCTACAGAGAACGGGAGGTGTAAAACGCTTTGGGAAAGACGTGGGAAGCAGAATCAAAAGGACTGAATGACAGCGTAGGCTGTTGAGAGGGAGGCAGGCCAGGGGTGTTTTAGCGTTGTTGACAAATAACCTTTCTACGCTGAGAAAAGGGAAAATTTTTCAAGTTGGGCAGCAGACACTCATGGCAACATGGCGATAAGACACAATTATTTAAACAAAGGTGGCAGAGAAAGCACCACAAGAGACTTACTCCACGCTTCCTGGAAACAAATGATGTTGACTCCACACATGGCAGCCACCTCGACAATGGCCTCTATGCGTTTGTGCAGGGCAGAGACCTGGTGATTTAAGAAGCGAGGATTAGAACCCATTCACCTCTGTTGGTGAGATGGCTTTGATGTTCATCCCAACATACATGGAACAATACACTCCCACCTGACCAGGTGCAAACAGGCTGGGGAGGTTCTAAAATCTGGTTCTCTCATCAGACCAAATTCTGTGAGATAAGGAGGTGGCACAGCAGCCAGGGAGCTACCTGGACACTGCCTCCATGTCCTAACCACCACCTGCCTAGCAGGGCTGCTGAGGTGTGGCGGAAGAGGACGGTTCTGCTTGCTGTCTCATGTGCGCTCACACAATTGCCCCCTAAACCTGCTGCTCTCTCAGCTGGGCACAGTCCACTTTGCGTTGTCCTGCACTCGAGCTGTGAGGCTTGCCTAGCCTGGCCACTTCCACTGTCTTGTGTGAATCTGATCTGCCAATGACTCACCTTTTTGACTCTAAATCTTCATGTGTTGGAGTGTGGCACTGGGCAAGAATGTACTCTCTCCGCACATCCAGCTTACCTGGAGGCGTGAGCCCTACACCTCCTGTCCCCCACTGAGAGCACTTGGCACTTTCCCAGCCACCTTCCCATTGTGCTGGTTCTCTGCTAACTGTTACTCTCAAGATCCCACAGGTTCCCTAGGTACAGGAAGAAAGCACCCTTGTCTCTGTGTCCTCATCAAAAAGTCTGGCTCTCAGGAGATATTCAGGCTGGAGACCCAGAGAAAGGAGAAACACTCTCCAGTACTGTTAGGCTCTTCACCAAGGGGCTGCGCACCCAGGCACCACGAATCTTTGCTGCCAGAGTCAGTCATGTTCACACACATCTGCTGGAGCTGGCAATGTGCAGTGCATCTCTAGGTGCTGGGGCAGCAGGGGGAAGGACAGCTCCAATGCTACAGCCTGGCCATGAGTCATACAGGGGCAAGTTCACAAATGACAATTCCAGAGAGAGAAGTAAGCAGAACCAGACATCTCCATCATGTTGGGGGCGGGGAATGCTGGGCACTGGACTCAGGCTCTCACACAGGCCCGCCACTGAGCTCCATCCCCAAGCCCCAGACAAACTGTAGTGCAACAAAAGCAAAGGGAAGACCAACAGGAAAGACGACAAAGAATCTGATCCGGAACCCAGGCAACCTCAGATTTTCAGAACCTTCTAATAAGTCTGCAGTAGTCAGAGAAAGCTGTAGAGAAAACCATCACACTTTAAGGTGCTGCAGGAATGCAAAAGAGTATACAAAACAAATACGCTGTTGGCATGGTGCTTTAGGTAAATACAAAATGATGTCACATTTATTTACTAACTGTATGGTCAGAAGGGAATGTCTGCCATATTCCTGTGGACTGAGGGCACCATCAGCTGACAGGCTTTTTGGCATAATGAGTCCCTACCCTCAGGGATAAGGCAGAGGCACGCAGAACAGTGCTGCGGCAGGTCGCTTCCTGGCAGGGCCTGAGGGGCAGCGGCCTGTGCAGAGCCTTGAGTCAGACAGAAGTGTGCTCTCCAGGTTGGCAGATGGAACTCGAGATTCGTGGTGTGAGAGGAACTTGGAAGGGAAGGTGGAAAGAACAGTGAGGGCTGACAGGAAGACAGTGAGGGTACAAACGGAAGAGGAAGACGACAGTTGGTGATGTAGCTCAGTGGCAGAGTGCTTACCCAATACGCACAAGTCTTGGGGCTCAATCCCTAGTAGCGCTCCCACCCCAAAAAAGAAAAGTACATTTAGCCAGGCATGGTGGCACTCCTAATTCCAGTACTTAGGAGGCTGAGGCAGGAGAAGCACTGTGAGTTCAAGGACAGCCTGGCCTACACAATGAGACTTTGTCTCAAGAAAACCAAAAATCACCAAAGAAACACAACAAATACAACAAAACAGAGAGCGAGAGCACGAGTGAGAAAGAGACAGGAGCAGGAGGGAAGCCAAATACACAAGCTAGAGAAAAGTAGGGGAGCCAGGGCAGAACTATCCCGGTTGCCCTTCAAGGTGCTGGTCCTGCGGACCCTGAGTGAGTGGCCAGCCAGGGACTGTGATGGGTCCAAAACAAAACTTTTACATAGTTAGTATAGGGACAGGCTGCACCTGTTCTGCCACGGGTGCTTTCGTGGAGAGAGGGGTTTTGTTCTGCACCAGCCCCACTCGTATGAGCCGGGGAGGTCTCATCTGCTCTGCTGCCGCCGCCGCAAAGGCATGTCCCTGCAGTTCAAAGTCGCCTTGGTTGGCAGCTTCAACAGCTCTTCTGGGCAGATCCAGCAGCCTAAATGGGCAGGAAGAGGAGGGAAGAGGATTTCAGTGAGATTTGCTGCATTTAAGATCCACCCTTGGACGATCCCCTGAACAATCAAAAATCCCCCTCATGCTTTGGAGTCATTTATCAGGTAAAGAAAAGAGGTGGGGGCCTCCCGCTGCCGGAGTCAGAGGGGCCAGGGAACACGGGGGCTGGGCAGTGAGTGTGCAGCCGAGTCCAGTGAGCTGGCTGAGTCCAGCTCCGTCGGTCGTCAGCAGGGAGATTTCAGGGACGTGGTGTGGTTAGGCTTGGCAAAGAGTGGGACAGTGCAACCCAGTCAAGAGGTCAGGGTTCTGGAGTTAATGAACTCAGAGCAGAGATGAAAGTCCCAGCAGGGAGCAGAGAAGACAGAAACAGTTCCAAGAAGATGTTTCTGAACTAGAATTAGCAGTTCCAAGTCTAGGAAAGGAAGTTGGGTTGGGATAGGAGAGACAGGCTCAACTCAGGAGATGGGTGGGATGGAGGCTAAGCGCAGAGATCATGAGGAGAACCCTGCAGCCATTCACAGTATGGAAGCAGAGCCTGAGGTGAGCGAGTCCCCAGGGCTTTACCTTCCAGGACCCCCATGGCAGGGCATGCATGGGTGCGTGCCTGTGTGCGTCCTCTCTCTGGTACTATGCGGGCCCAACACATAGGCTCTGTTCAGACCAAAGCCCCAAGCACCCATCCAAGTTTGTGATTTACTAGCAAAGGCCACAGGGCTATTTATAAAACCTCCCACTGAAGTGACCGCTGGTAGCGCGGCCATGCCTCCCGATACCTGTTGCAACACGGTTCACGGCCTCAGGCCAGGAAGGCCTTACCATCTAAGGGCGAGATGATTATGAAATACCCAGAGAACACATCAAAAATAACCTGACAGCCATTATCTAATAATAATATTTCTCTCCTACTTTAAATCGCTTTCTTAAAGACATTTCTTTCAAAATCATAGCCCTGTCAGCCTAAGCCCCCTGTTGCCGCCCCCTGCCAGGTACTTTCCACATGACGGCCCTGACAGCTCCGAGTTCGGTTCCGCCCCTGACAATCAGCCTGCTTTTCAAATAGTCAAGGTTCCCTTCCCTCCGGCAGGTTAGAAATAGCAGCAGTGCCCACACCTCGCCTCCCTGCCTTCCTTCCTTCCTTGTTCTGACTACTCAGACAGCCCTTGTCCCTTGGAGCAGAAGGCCCCTCTCAGGGACTGAGCCTACCTAGGGCAAGGTGGACAGGACAGTCATGAAACTCCCCAGGAGCCCTGGGTTTGCACAGGCAGCCCTGGAAGAAAAGTTCCGTGTGTGTGTGTGTGTGTTTCCCAAAAGCTGGGGCCTCCCCGAAGCTATCTTTTTGTCTTGGTGCAGGATGAGTCAGGTAGGACTGGCCTGGCTATACCCATCACCTGGAAGGTCTCTTTCCAGCCCATCCCAGCCCACAGCCGTTCTCTTTCTGCCTTTCCACCATCTGTCTGCTCCATTATTCTGCAAGTGCATCCACTTCTTCATCCTGTCTATGCTGACTGTAGCTTGCATCCTGCCAGCCAAGGCTGTGCACCCCCTTGTCCCCAGTTCCCCCGGACCTCATCCTCCTAGGTCTGAGGGAAGGCAGGCCAGGCTTCACTCGAATGAACTGAATGTTGAAATACTAAAGTGATGGGGCCCTCACCCATGGGATTAGTGTCCTTCTGTAAGAGTGTTGCTTGCCAGGCACAGTGGCTAGTGCATCTAATCCTAGCACTGTGGGAGGCTGAGGCAGGAGGATCACAGGCAGGTTTATTTTATTTTGGGGGGGGCAGAATCGGGGATTGAATCAGGCCCTTGCACTTGCCAGGCAAGTGCTTATTCTACTGAGTCCTCTCCCCGGCGCCTCACAGGCAGGTTTAAACCCAGCCTGGGCAACTTAGCAAGACCCTGCCTCCTAATTTAAAAATTAAAAAAGGACTGAGGGTTTAGCTCAGTATGAAGGCCCTGGGTTTGATCCCCTGTCCCTCAAAAAGTCCTACTAGGCAGGATGATGCATATCTGTCATCCCCGCTACTTGGGAGGCTGGCTTGAAGCCAGCATAGAGAGCTGGGGACGTTAATTCAGTGGGTAGTATACTCACCTAGCATGCCTGAGCCCCTAGGTTCAATCCCCAACACTTCAAAAATAAATATATAATATATACATTAATATATATATATTAATATATATATACACACACACACACACACACACACACACACACACACACAAATGAACTAGAGGCCTGAAGGACACTGCTTGCTCTTGCACCATGTACAGGGACACAGCAAGAAGTCCCCATCTGTGAACTAGGAAATGGCCCTTGTTAGCCACTGAATTTGCAGGTGCCTTTATCTTGGACGTTTAAGTCTTCAGAACTATGGCGAATACATCTTCGTGGTTGAAAACCCATCCAGCCCAGGGTATCTTGGGGTAGCAGCATAAAGGGGCTAAGACAGGGACTGACCCAGGAAGGGGAAGACACCTACAAAGAGCCACAGCTTACGAGGGGGTCTTGGTGCAGCCTAACTACGGCTTAGTTGACTTCAGCTGCCCACCTCACCCCGAACACCACCGACTCTTATCTTCCACCTCCAGGAGGAAAACCTGTCACTTCCTGCCCTGGCTCCCACACCCCCTCTCGGGCTTTCCCTTCCCCCTCTGGGGTCAGGGAAGATATGGCTCGAGGGCCCTAAGCGTCTGCCCCCTCAGCAATGGCTCAGTTCTGGAACCTCATCTTTCTCCTGCTAAAGGCTCTTTACCATTTTCAATCACTAAACTAGGGGCCGGGGAGTTAGCTCAGTAGAGTAAGTGCTTGCCTGGCAAGCGCAAGGGCCCGAGTTCAATCCCCGATTCCAGGAAAAAAAAAAAAAAAATCACTAGAGATTTGTTATAAAAGAAACCTGCTCAGGAGAGGTGAGTTTTCTACTTAAACAAATAGGAAAGGCATAAAATGAAAAATCCGTTCCCCAGGAAGGCCCAGGCCCAAGCCTTGGATGATCTGCCTTAGCGTTGTTTAGTGCACTCTTTCAGAGCTTGCTATGTAAGTCCAAGTGTTTAAAAAAAAAGGGGGGGTATCAGCCTATATTGTTCTCTAACCAGCCCTTTTCACTTGGCAATATACAGTTATACACTGTAGATAATGCTGCTGCTATTGATGGACTGCACAGGCTGGATATATAGGATTATGGTCTCACAGGATTATGATAGAGCTAGATTATGACAGAGCTAGGCGTGTGGTGTGCACCTGCCATCCCAGCATTCCGGGACTGCTAGTTTGAGTCCAGTTTAGGCAACTGAGCAGATTAGTGAGACTCTGTTTTAAAAATTGAAACGGAAAGGCTCCGATTCAATGCTCAGAACTTAAAACAATTGAGCTGCAGAGTGACTTGACCTCACCCCTGTCATGACCTTGTCGTACGGTGCATTGCCCCCGCTTGTGGTGATATTGGCATAAAGAAGCGATTGCACCGCCCGGTGTATGGAAGCGTGCACTGATACCTTTATGTCCAGCACACAGTGCTGGATGACAATCACAGCTGTTACTGATTTCTGCATTCACCATATTTTTATCATTATTGTTGAGTGGACTTTTTCTACTTGTAAAAAAAGGTTAAGGGCCGGGTGGATAGTTCAGTGGCATATGCGCCTGCCTGGCAAGAGCAAGGTCCTGAGTTTGATCTCCCTGGTACCAAAAAAAAAGCTTATAAAAAAGGTTAAGGAGGGCTGGTGAGATGGCTCAGTGGTCTAAAGCCCTACTTAGAACAAGCTTAGCAAAGCACAGGGACCACGGTTCAATCCCCCAGCACCACATGCCAGCCAGCCCCGCCCCCTGGTGGGCTGAGCTGGACACACACACACACACACACATAAATAAAAAAAAAAGGTTAATGAAAACAATATACTGTATCATACCAGCGGCAGCCTCAGAAATCTCATGCTTACTATTACCCCCCCATTGCATCAAAGAGGCCACATCAAAGGGCTGGCTGGGGTGTAGCTCAGGGATAGAGCACCTTTCTAGTAGGTAGGATTCCTAGTACTGCAAGGAGAAAAAAGAAGCCACATGAAGTAGCTGACCAGTGCCGCACAAGTTTGTGTAAGTTTGGCGCTGTGATGTTTGCATAGCCCCCAAATCACTTAAGGATGCATTTCTCAGAACACATCCCCATCATTAATGACACGCGACTAGATGGCTTGGACATTCCTGTCAGCGCATAAAGGCCTATGAGAACTGCCATTGGTGCGGCTCCCATTCATGTGCGCACGCACACACAGGTGGGTGAGAGCAAGCCCTCAGCACATGACCCTCTTGCTCCATCCTCACCCCTACACCCTTCATTCTTCAGCCCCTTTTCCCCACCTCCCTTTTCATCACTCAAGCCAAAACGGTCCTCACCTGATATCTCTGACGCACCTATACTTTTTCCTGTACCACTTTGAAGTCCTACCACCCGCGCACATCCTCAGCTTTAGGGCCTCTGCTTTCTCTGACCCTTTCAGCAGCCACGTTCTCCAGAATTCTCTTTGGGCCTCTCCCACCTTACAGCTGCTCCTTCTCCAATGGGGATGGCCACCTGCAGCCCAGCTCCCCTGGGGAGGCCATGGCCACGTTGCAAACAGCCACGGAACATATCCACATGGAAACCCCCAAGGGTACCTGTAGGGGGCTGAAGTGTGTTCCACATTCTAATACCCAAAACCTATGTGACTATGTGACCTTATTTGGAAAAAAGATCTCATTCTGCTCTTATTTCTTAGTCCATTCTTCTCTGTAGCCACCAGAAGGATCTCTTTAAAACATAAACTATCCCTGTTACTCTTTCACTTAAAACTCTGCAAGGGATTTCCTGGGTACTTAGAATAAAAGGCAAACTCTGATCTCAAGCAGCTCTTGGTTAACATTTCTGTCTCCCCAACCCAGTTTGACTGCCTACCTTTAGGATGCAGCTCAAACACAGCCCGCCCAGGAAGACTTCCTGACCTCCCTGAACCCTAAACATGAACACTGTCTTAGGCTCTCCCTGCACCCTTCTCTCATAATGTAAGACAATCATCAAAAGATCACAAGGGGAGCTGGTGGCGCAGCTCTTGTGGGAAGCCCTGGGTTTGCTTCCAGCACTGAAGAAGAAAAAAGCCCTTGGGGCAGGAACTGTGGTTTACTTGTCCTCAGGTCCCTGGTGCCCAAGATTTATCTGGGCATGGTGGTACACAACTGTAATCTCAGCACTCAAAGCTGAGGCAGGAGTATCACTATGAATTCGAGGCCAACCTTAGTTACATAGCAAGTTCAAGGCTAGCCTGAATTGCAGAGTGAAATCCTGCCTCCAAAAAATAGGTGATCAACAAATGTTCATTGATTGAATGAATGAATGGTTCTTGGCTCTGGCCATCTTAAGGCTGACAGTTAATGTTCTCTGGGGATTTCTTCTGTCTGGTACAGGCCCGCTTGGCTCGTTCATTTAGCAAACATTCACTAAGCATTATTTTGTATTGGGCACAGGAAATAATCCAGAGAAAAGTCAGTGTTGTGTGAAGCACAGAGGGAGTCCGGAGGAGGGACTGAGGACCCCAAGCCTTCATGGCCATATCTAGATTAGATTCTGAGAAACAAACAGGAGGGTTAGCTAAGTTACAGTAAAAATTCTTTCTTTCTTCGGTTGGCTATTCTGAGCAACAGGCTTCCACTTTAGAAATAAAACCTGGAAGGGATACATGCCGAGTGTGGAAGAGAATCAAGGAAAGAGGGTAGAAAAAGGGGAACCACTTGTTGGGTTAATGTGAGCCAAGCCCCAGGGGACCGGCAATGCCAGTCACCAGATGTTGGCTAGTGTTTTACCACCCACTATAATGCCTTCACATTCTGGAGTTCTCCAAATGCTAATAAAAATCCCTCTCCCAAGACCGTGCCTAGCCTGCCCTTAGCCCTATTCCAGAATGTGCCCCAAGCAGTCTCTTTCACGGGAGCTTTGCCTCTTCCTGACAACCATGATCTTGTTCTGTCTTTTTTCCAGAACATTCTTTCTTCACCATTAAACTAATTCCAATGCTAAAAACTGTAGTCGAGATGCCCCATCTTCTTTGGGAAAAAATCTCAACTCCAGTTATCGCCAAGGTGATAGTATTCAAGGTAAAGTGGACAGCAGAGGCCAGCACGGGCCCTTTGTGAGGGCCTTAGAGGCTATCTAGTTTCTGTCTGGGTATGAAAAGCCTTTTCTGACAAATCCCAAAGGCAGCTACTCTACCTTTACCATTCACTAGCTGTGAAAAGTCCTCAGAAGCCAGATGCAATGGCAAATACCTGCAATCCAGGCCTGAGGGAGGCTGAGTCAGGAGGATTGTAAATTTAAGTCCTACCAGGGCAAATTAGGGAGACAGTATCTCAAAGCAAAAATGGGGAAAGGATTGGGGCTGTAACTCAGTGATAGAGCACTCCTGGGTTCTTTCCTCATAACACACACACATCCATCCATCCTCGGGTCAGGCCTCCCTGCACAAAGCCTACAGAGGCTGGCACCCTGGATTTAATCAACACCCTCCAGCTATACAGGTGAGCTGTATAAATTCACAGAGCAGACAGTCAAGCTGGGATGGAGAGGCACCAGGAGCTGCTTGAGATCAGGATTTGCCTTTCATTCCAAGTGCCCAGGAAATTCCTTGTAGAATTTTAAGCAAAAGAGTAACAGGGTATGGTTTACATTTTAAAGAGATCCTTCTGGTAGCTGCAGAGAAGAACAGACTAAGAAATAAGAGCAGGAGGTGAGGCATTTTTTCCAGCCTTGTACACCCTGTATCCCCCAGAAAGTCCTCCTGATGCAAATTTGACTTCCTGGAGGTGGAAAAACATTTGCACTGCGAGTGGTAACTAATTTTTCTAGCCTGCGGGTGGCTAGGTTTCCTTCCAATATAATTTAGACTGGGAGGCCTCTACCTCCAAGTCTCAGTCCACACGGCAAGGACAGAGAGGCTGGGACAGGATAATAAAATACACCTGCTCGGGGGCTCTGGTTAATAGGGGTCACCTGGCCAGACAGCCATAGTGCAGGGCCAGCTCTGGGAGTACGCCCGTCCCTTAAAGTGAGGAGGAGGGTTGGGATGGCCACAGATAGCGCTGCAGAGTTAACACCCAAACTCCGTTCCTTTCCCTCTCAGTTATGAGTCACGTGGGGGAGGGGACTGACTTGTAAGGGCTCCCCAGAATGCTGCAAACCTCAAGTCCCCCTCCTGGCACCGTCACACCTAGACTTCCCACAGCCCCAGCTTGCCTATGCAGATCTCAAATCACCACCCCACTCACAACCCATCAGACCTTAAAGTCCTCCCCCTGGTCCCTGTAACCCACACCTGGTGGCCCTCAAACCCAGCAACTCAACCTCTAAGGTCCCGGACCTGGTCTCTTTGCCATAAAGAATGCGCTTCACTTCTTGCAGCTCTGGCAGTGGCAAATGCTTCTCTAAGCACTGCTCCAGCGACTCCCATTCGGCTCCCGCCATGGCTGGAATTGGGAAGCGTAAAGCGTTAGGGTCAGCGTCAGCTTCAACTGCCTGCTCTTCGCCCTCTGGAGAAGGCTGCTGGAGAACCGAGTACTTGCCCTCGGCTATTTATTTACCCGTGCTCTGAGAGCCGCTGCACGTGTGGACACGCCCCCTCCGTGGTGAGCAGCCAATCAATGCTCAGGACTTTGTGGGCTTGCCCCTTGCCCTTCGCACCTCTTTTGACGTGCGCCAGGACACGCCCCTTCCGAGTCTCTTCTCCACTCAGCCAACCTGAGCGCCAGAGATTCACCAGCAGAACCGCCCTTTGCCCTTTGTCCTTTGCCCTTTGCCCCCTCCAGGACAGCGCTGCACAGCTGCTGGGGCCAGTCCTCTTGCTCCCCTGACCTCTTTCCATACTTGCTGCGCTATGCTGGACTTGAGTGTCCATGAGTTTAGGGTGCTAGGGGGTCCTGGAAACAACCTCCCAAAGATGTCTTGTAAATACAGCAGATTTAAATGATGTGAAATGGAAAAGTGTACTGTACTGTGGAACCCAGGGGGAGGGGTGATTTCCAGCCTAGAAAGAGAAATCACGGAAGGCCTCGTGGAAGAGGCTTCCCTGCTAAATCAAAATGCCTCGAGCTGGACTTGGACCCTCTCTCTGGTCTGATTTTATTTTTTGTGCTGTAGTCTTCATTCCGTTAATGGCCTCACCAATCACTCATGTGCCAAGCCTTTGCGAGTCATCCTGAAACACCTTCATTTTCTTTCTTTCCGCCACACAATCAGGCATGAAGTTCTGTTAGATTTATCTCCTCAGTTTTGTTCGAATCCTTCCCCTCTCCCACCTCATGCCTACAACAGTGGCATCTTTTGCTTGCATTCTTCTCTGTGTTCCAACTTGCCTCTCTGCCGCCATGACGCAGTGGTCTAAAACGAATGTCCTCCGATCCTCTGTACCTCTCCACTCAGGGTGTCCCTCCCTGGGGTCACCTCCACACTCCATTTTGTGAACTTCTTCCCCTGATTCTTTTCGGAGATGCAGTTGAAACAGTACCTGCTGCCCCAGAAAATTCAGCTTCCATCAGCCCTTTACAGATACCTTGCCAGTGTTTCTCAAACACGGTTGCATAACCTGGAACTGAGTCTGATGTACTTTCCTACTGCAGGACTTCAGCACTTAGTGAATGATAACTAAAGGGATTGACTTGTATGGGGTCTAGGGAAAACTGGCTAAAGCAGTGACATTTGATCTGGACATTTGAAGCAGGAATAGAAACTGTTGTTGGCTAGGTTGCTTAATCTGTCTTTCCTTATTTATTTATTTTGGTGGTACCAGGGCTTGAATTCAGGACCTTGTGCTTGCCAGGCAAGCAATTATTCCTCTGAGTTATCTCCCCAGCCCTTATCTTTCCTGGTTTAGTGACAGTTTATTCATGTGAAGATACTGTGAAAGTTCAAAAAATAAATATAAAACACTAACTGGAGAAGGATCAAATTTGTGTTAAATTTTTTATATGTGTTTTGTTTTGCTTGTTTGCTTTTTTGTCTTTTTTATTTTTATTTTTTAATAGATTGCAAATTGAAAATAAATTATTTACAAACATAAATGAATATAGCAATAAAAATTGTCCAAAATAAAAATGAAGAATTTATAAATCAGTCATAATAGTTCACTGTGTCAAAACCAAGAAACTTATATTCATATAACTAGAATTCTCAAAGTAGAAAGTAAAAAGTAGAAATATTTATAGGCAATAAATATTTAAAGATTTAAAATTTCTGAATTTAGTTCAACTTATAATACTGCAATTACAAGAAAAATGAACCTTTTGCACAAGAAATTTAAATAAAATCATACCAAGATACACAAAAATGACATTGTCCAAAACTTATTGTAAAGAAAAAAATCATTAAAGCATATACATAAAAAATATTAGCTATGGAAGAACAAAATTAAATTGTTTGCTTTGTTTTTGAGACACAGTCTTTCTATGTAGCCCAGACTGGCTTCTAACACACAGGTGGTCCTCCTGCCTCAGTTTCCCCAGTGCTACAATTACAGGCATACATCAGCATACCTGGTTTAGTTATTTGTTTATTTTTTAATAAAAGCAGGAAGGTTTTTTTTCCATAAAGCACTAATAAAATCTTTTAATAAGGAAAAAACTAAACAAAGACAAGCCTTAGTCTCACGTTCCTATCCAGACACTCAAGGCTAGTTTTTCCCTGTCTGTCCCTTCTAACTGCAACATTGTGACTAGGTATTAAAGGTCCGTTTAAACTGTTTCTTTTTTCTTTTTTAAGTTCAAACTTTAAAAAAAAAACAAAAAACGATTAAATAATCAGACAGGCAAAAAGTTCTTCAAGAAACTTAGGTCTCTTCCCATCTTGCAAAACGGTGAGTGAAAAAACTGAGAAGGCAGACACTAAAAAGAAGAAACCCAAAGCCAAGAAGGCTTCTGCCAGTGGTACTGGTAAAAAGGATAAGGTAA